TTACAGCAGCACCATTATGACCAGCCCCCACCCCATCACCATCCCAAGAAATACTTTCCATAGCAACAGCCCCGAGGCCTCGGGGGTCCATGTGGCCAATGAAGAGGAGTGAATTCTGCTTTTAATCCACAGGTCCAGCAGGCCAATTCTCCAACTTTAAGAATGAGGGCCGTGGAGGAGGTGGGTGTCCGGTTACACTGATACAACCTCTGCTCCACAGCGCGGGCCTCCGCTCCTCCACGCAACTTTTAAAGGGCACACTGAGGGGAGCAACGCTGCTGGTGGGAGAGCTCTCAGTTTTGATGAGAAAAATATTTAAAGATAACACATTGCTGCCCAGCCTTTTTTTTTTTTTTTTTTACCAAGCGCTGTGTCGATCTTTGAAGGATCAGTACTTTTTTAAATGAAGCACCCTTTAGACCAGTGTTTCCCAAACTGTTTTTCTGGGGACCCATATTTTAAAAGTCACAAACCTTCGTGACACTGGGGAACATGATGCGAAACGACCCAAAAAAAAAAACCAAAAACCTCTTTCAACCCACCTGAGAAAATATTCATGTTTATACGCCTTGGTTGTTTTAAACTTACCAGTTGTTAAATCTATAAATATATATAAATTACATTATAGATATATAATTTAACATATAGGAAATATATATTTATTTCATGTCAAATATATTTTTTGTGCCTCCCAAATAGCTGTGGTTCTGTGCAACTTTTTCTTTTGTCTTTGACAAAGGTGGACAGCACGACAGTGCTAGTATGCTAGTGTTTATGAACAGCGATGGACACACAGCGTGGAGCAGCCTTTCAAAGACAGCAGGTGTCTCAATAAACTCTACTTTACTGAACAAACATGCAAATGAGCGACACAAAAAAGCTGTGCCGTGGTTAAATCCCCAGATCCAGGTGTTCTGTTTGTCTTGTTATCGTCACTGTGCTGCAGTTCAGTCACTAAACACATGATGAAGAATCAGGAATGTCATTGATTTTCCCAAGCTGCCGTCAGGAGTGACTCCTACAGAGGCTGACAATGGGACACAGGACAACATCTTTTATGTCCGAGTGTCCAACAGAGAAGCCTCTTCCTACCAAGTGTGACTTTTAGCACCGGTGTTGCGACCTGCCATTAAACAGGACAGGAGAGAGGAAGAGAGAGAGGAGACGGTGGAGGTAGCGCAGCGGAGCGGGGAGAAGGACAGGGGCCAGAAGGGTAATTAGCAGTGAGGTAGTAATGGCGTCTCTCCGGCAGAACAGGAAGTGCAGCCAAACAGGGCTGTTTACACCCACCGGGGCTCGTTCCCCGGCCCAGTCCACACTTGTCCCCCATTCTCTCACCCTCATATCCTGCGTCTGCTCACAGACTACTGTGTCCACACAGACGCTGCCATAAAAAAGAGCCATCAATGGCCCTAATCCTCACACCACACAGCCTTTTTGATGTCAAGAGAGTCAGAGTGTGAGTGAATCTTCCCATTGTTTTTCATTAAGAACACGTGGGACATGGTGCAGTCCAGCAGCTTTGAAGAAAGAGGAACAAAACAACCTCAAAGGAGCCGACGTTAATATGGTGGGAGGGTGAGTCACAAACAGGTTTGACTCCCCGTTAAAGGGCAGTGTTGCAGTGAAATCATACAGCACAGCAGAGAGACGGAAACAACAGAGGAGGACGAGCAGCTCCAGCTCCATCACACCTAGATCGACTTTCTTCCTTAGTGCAGTGTGATGCCCCATGATCTAACGTTGGGGCCACATTTTATTATCAAATCTTAAAGAAGCACTGTAGGTTCAGAATAAAGAAACGGAACATTTCTATTTAAAGATTCTGAAAAAAAACTTGCAGGCAGAAAGATCTGGATGCAGATGTTAAAACATCAAACTGACTGTTGACAAGAGTTAAAGCAACATTTAAAGATTCAAAGGACTTGATTGTCCCATACTGTGGGACAGTGAATACAAATAGATTCTAATGGTTTTATAAGAACTTTATATATAACTAATTATTGACCTTACATTTGAAAAGCCCCATTGTTTGTTAACAGTGACAATAAAGAGCTCTTAAATCTTGGATGTTAACAATGTACTTTCTTTTAATCAATTTAAACATTATATCTAAAGTGTAACAGTTAAAGGAATGATATCCACATGTCACTAATTGGTGAAAGGATAAAACAAATGTCCTCATGATTTAAGTGTTGTTATTATAGTCCAACAAGAATTCTTTGATCTTTGTCCTATATATCCAGTAAGATGCTGAGTAAATGTTGTGGAAAACACAACATGATAGAATTTTTTGGAATCCTGACTCATAAATTCTGGACACATGAAAAACATGTATTCCACTGGGAAAAACTCCCTGCACTGACAAACACCATCACAGTCCTGTGGTCCGTGCCCTGAGACTGACACATTCCTCCGCTGAAACCTGGAATGCTGGCGACTCATTGATCCTATCTGCAGTCAGAGCACATTACAGAGGAAAAAACAAAATGAAAAAAAAAAACAAAAAAACAAAAAAAAAAACAAAGAACGGCCTCTGCTTGGATTTCTGCCATTTTCTGTGTGTACGTGACACGCACAGGTGACGTGGTGATGAGAAAAAGATCAGGTAAACGGTAAGAGGTTACAGGTCAGAGGTCAGGTAGAGGTGAGGTCAGGATGTAGGACCTCCACCCAGGTGTGCTGTTTGTGGAAACGAGCTGAAGGTGGGGAGGGGCTTACAGTGATGGGGGCTGTGGAGAAACCTGAGAACCACGTTCTCACACTGGGAAAAAAAAGGAACTTGTCTAAGATGGGGGTTTTTTCCACCCGTGGTAATTTGATTCTATGGTTTTATCGGTAGAGTTAGCCATAAAATATGTCCTGGAACCTCATTTAAATAAAAATCTACTAAACTATTGAATTAGTTGTTTTAAACCATGTGAGTTGTTCATTTCTTTTATTAAAAAAAAGAGTTGACATGCATTACTGCCACCTGCTGGGGATACTGTTAAAAGGTTAAAATTGTAATTAAAAAAGTTGTCACGATAAAAAGAGCGGGAAACCAGTGGAGAAGGGGAGACGGCGGAAACATCGCAGATGGATACTTTTAGTTTTAGCCAATTAAAAATGACTTTGTTTTATCCTTGTTATATTTTTCAGCTTTAGCTTCATTTTTTCTAAGCTAAAAGTTTAACTCATTTTTTAACCTCAATCACCCTCCTGTGTACAAGGGGAGACGGAGGAAACATCACAGATGGATACTTTTAGTTTTAGCTAATTAAAAATGACTTTGTTTTATCCTAGTTATTTTTTCAGCTTTAGCTTCATTTTTTTAAGCTAAAAAGTTTAACTCATTTTTTTAACCTCAATCACCCTCCTGTGTCTTTTTAAAAAAGCACAGATTGACTTTCAACGTAGGGGGCTTTTCTTTGTCAGTCTTTTTTTGTTGTTGTAGTTTTGCCTTTAACTTAAATGACATGCAGATTTTTCAAAACTTTTTTCTTTATTTATTTCCTAGAGTCATCCTTCACTCTGAGTGGGAAATTGGTCACAGCTACACCACAGAAACTCCCTCAGTTGTCACCCCCGGCACTGGCAGCTCAAGCATTGTAGGCCTCAATGACCTCTGACCCTTGATGCTAATGCCTGTGTGACAAGGAAAATACTATAAACCTGGCTCGGGTTTAAAAAAAAAAAAAAAAATCTGCACATTTTGACAGGTTTACTACAGTTTATACAACTCGTCTGTTGAACCAAATGCTGCAACGTATTATTATTATTAACTTTTTTAACTAAACAATTTTGCTGATGGTTGTTATTCCCTAAAATTCACCTTATTTGATTGAATTTCATAGGTGTATATTTCAACAGTTCTTCCAGAATTATTATTAATCCTCTGGCAGTGGCTTCAACGTTAATCTACATTTCAGGGCTCCCTGCTGAGCGCTTGAGTTGTTCTCGTGTCTCATTCTGCAGGCCACCTCTTCTCCCTGCTTTTCTTCCCTGTTTAACATCAGCCGTCGACCTGCCTTTGAAGTAGCGCTCCACTCATTTCCCAACCCCCAGGGATGTGGGGCTGCTTTTACTGGTCTCCCTGTCCCAGGACTGGGTTTGCTTTGACTGTCCATGACAAAGTGAGAAAAGCTCTGAGAGATGGAGCAGCTAGAGGGTAAAAAAGAAAGACCCGGACCCTGTCATTAAACAGCCGAGAAGCGATGGCTATTCAGACGAGGAATGAAGGAGACGACTTGATTGTGGATTAAAGTGAGGGTGATCAAGAGAAAGAGAGCGAGAGAGAAAATCCATAGGTTTTATCACAAAACGAGAGAGGGAGAGAAAATCCATAGGTTTTATCACAAGGTTGCCACAGCAACCACCTCCTCATTTACCAATCTTAGCTTAGAGCGAGTCTCTGCCATGAACACACAAACACACACGCAACCTCCACACACAACCTCCACCCCTCGCTTTCAGCCTCCCCTCCCCCCCTTGAAAGGGGAGCGTCTGGCTGCCTGTCCTGCTTGCAATGACAGGCTTTTGTTTGAGGCCTGACTCGGAGAGCATATGGCAGGTGCCCCTCAGCAAACTCACCCCCAAACCCCACCCCCGGGCTCCGAGGCCAACGTAACACTATGTCGTAGCGACTGAGCTTCGTGTGTGTGTGTTTTCCAGGATGCTCTTTTTTTTCCCCCCTGTGAAGGTTTTCTAACCGGAATCTGCTCCACTGATCCAGAAAGACAAGGTTTATCATGAAGACGTAGCACTAAGACAGATGAAAGATCTGTATCTGGTCTTGAATCTGAGCTGAGGACCAAAAATCACACAAAAACACAATCGCAAAGAAAGTCAACAAATAGCTACTTGGTATGTTCGTGCAAACTGGCAGCGTGTAAACACGAACAGCATCGTTTACCATAACAAATAACTGCAATATGAGAGGTCTGACTGGAGGTGGCAGAGTCTGTCAGGAAGACTAATGTGAGCACCGCAGGACGTCAGGGAATACAACACAATAGAAAGTTAAGTTTGAGGAGTGATTTTCAAACAGAAAATATGTGCTGTATAAATATTCAGTCTCCACTGCGGCTCATATCACATCCACCGTGGTTCTTGTGAGTGAGTAATTGGGTTCACTGGAACGGAGAAAAGTGAAAGGTCTCTAAATAAGTGTCCAACGGTCAATAACGCTCAGTCCCTGTGGGTTTGAGGAAAAAAAAAGAAAAAAAAAATCCTGACCAAAATCTCACTCCAGCAAATGAAGAGGAGCTCATCCGTGAACAAACACATGCACGCACAAACATCCACCAAAAACACACGCACACAATGGAGTAACAGGATTAAGCAGTGACTGCTGAGAGGCACAAAAGAGCGAGCGATTAATTAACCCAGCGTTGAAGCTAGAAATATTTACCGAAAGACAATGTCTGTGTGTGACTGTGTGTGTGTGTGTGTGTGTGTGTGTGAATTGGGGAGGCCGTTCAATAACTAGGCCAGATTCCAAAGGACCTCAGGACAGATAAAAACCCAAGACAACTGTGAATCAAAAAACTCTTTCAAGACTCCATCAATCAAGGCAAGGACTCCCCGGAGTCCTGGAGGAGCCAGGAGGAGGAGAGGGGAGGAGAGGAGAGGGGAGGAGAGGGGAGCCAACTCACTGATGACACATTCAAAAGATTCAACCCAAAAAGAAATTTGATTTATAAAGTGAAGTAGTAGAAGAAAAACATCTAACCCGAGTGAGGTTGAATACATTTAACTATGTTAGAAAAGAACTCTCCGGAGAGATGTTCCTGGATCCCCCGGAGACCATGTTCAAATAAAAACCTCTTTCATGTCTCATATTCAAATTTCCACCACCACAGAGACTGCAGTGATGGCAGAGATGGCCTGTGTGTGACTGCACATTCGCTGAGCCCTCCCAACACACCCCACCCTCCTGTGAGGAGACCCTCTTCTACGCTCCCTCTTTGACATTATCATTAGTCTAATTACCCATGATGCCGAGGGGTGCATTAATGCACAGAAAACCTCTGTTAATCATGAGACAGTCACAAGGATTCTAATAATACCAGGAAACCTGCACCAGGCACCAGGGGGACAATGATGAACACACCTGCTCTGCACCAACAAAGAAGAGAAGAGAAGAGAACGGAGGCCACTGTTCATCACACCACAGACACAGGCTGCAAATTCATACGAATTAAAAACATTATCAAATCATCATGGAAAAATATCCTTAAAACATTCATTTTAGCTGCTCAACACAAGGTGGGCCAAAAGATTAAATACACTTTTAGTTTGGATAGTTGCACATTAGCTAACAGAGACAAACGAGAAATAGGTGTGAAACCAAGAACACTAGGAGTAAAAGAACATTTGCATCTATGACCTTGGCAGGTGACAGAACTGGGTTTTTGTTTGTTTTTTTAAAATCAAACCCACAACTAAAGATTGAAATGTTGCTTCGAGCAGAATCAAACGTGGAGATAACATTCATCACGAGTGGCGCTATCTCTGCAATCAGCACTTGTTTTTCAAATCTGCAAACAGCTTAAAATAAATTTTTTTAAAAAAAAGGTTCATAAAGGCTACATGATCAGTGGAGTGCAGCTAAGAGGAAATAAAAATCACCACGGTCTTTCAAGCATTACTCTAATTAACCTTGTTACAGAGCGTGTGGCATGTGTCCACGAACTACAGCTACGGTACAATTTTAGCTCAGGGTATTTGCATACCAGCCCTTACCTCAAATGACCCCCTAAAGACTGCCAAAATTTAAATACATACAAACATAAATATAAATACATATATTTGTATATATATATATATATATACATATATATATTTATTTACATACATATTTACATATATAATGTAATGTAAATGTGAAGCTAAGATATTACTGTTGTCGTAAACCTTAGCAGTATTTGCCTTTAACCTCTAATCTTTGACTCTGGCAGGAAAGATAAGTAGAGCCGCAAGCTAACCACAAGAAGAAATAATCCGACCCTTCGAGGACATAGTGGTTCTGTACGTGTGAGCCGGGGCCACTGCAGCAAAACAAAACCTGTTGTTTGCCAGGTGACGAGCGGTGGGACATAGCTGGTAGCGGTTACTGAGGATGGCCAGCAGGTCGGCAAAGTACCGTCGCATGCCGATCTGCGGAGAGTGGGCCCGGTAGACCGGTAATTTCAACTCCTAGAGAGGGAGAAGAGGAGAAAGAGACATTGGGGGGGTGTAAATGATGGGGGTTGGGGCAAGAGGAGCTGGGTGGGCAGGAAGCAGCAGTGAAGAAATTCAGAGGCTGTTAAGAATATGCATAATAATAGTGAGGCATGAATCTCCTCTGCTGACTGTGTCTTTAACCACCAACACACTCCTGTCAAAGAAAAAAGTAAATTAAACTGAATATTTAACATGGAAAAAACAGTTAGTGTGTGCCTCAGTCCAGATTGATTTAATTTAAGGTGGCTGTGGAAAAACTGCAGCTAATCTAGGTCACTGCAGGGGTCTTAGTGGGCTGAGCGAAGCAGTAATGTGTATGGTGTTTTTGATGGGGGGGGCTGGGGGCTGGAGGGTGAGCTGAAGATAGGATTAGGTTTCACCCAAGCACATCTCCTATTCATGTTCAATTAGCTGCATGTGTTTCAATGAGGGAGGAAGACACTCGGGGGCATTAGCATTGAATCAGCCCCTGTGGAAGCAGCTCCGGAAAACTGGAGAACACATGGCTCCAGTTTCAGATCCTGCTTCAGTGAAGGGTTTCACTCACTTAGCAACGCTTTTGGTAAAAGAGAATTATTTTTCCTTTTTGACCTTGTGGAAGGAAATAACCTTAATTATTTAACACCTGCAGAAAACAATGATGTTTGTGAGGTCAACCGTTCTAGCTAGCCTTTTATACCTTATCTTGGTATTTGAATCTGTTAGCATTTCACATGCTACACGCTACAGTCGACTTTCTAGCCTGCAGGAAGTACATACTTTCATCATCTTTTAGATTCCTGTCATAGAGTCGGAGTTAAAAACCGAAACATACATTTCTGGAGTTTGTCAGAGAATTAATTAGATTTTAACAAACTACTAATTTAACAGGACATGTGTGACTGATACATTCATGTCACATCTCATTAGAATGGACTGTTATATTTAAGCTGCTTTCAAAGAGTGACCCATAAGGACAGAAACAGCTCTGCCGTCAGCCTCACATTTCCTAAATTAGTTTAAAAGTTGAGACTTGTTGACGAACCAACGACTACAGTTGGTTCGTTATCTAAAGAATACACGAGCGCAAACATGGGCAGGTCTGCGCTGCTAACTGTCGGCTGCTATTTATTTTGAACACAAGTAAGACAACAAGGATGCTCAGGTGCACATTTGAATTGAATCCCAAAATAAACAGTAAGTCCTCTCCCAAACCAACACACAGCAGCAGCAGCAGCAGCAGCAGCAGCAGCAGCAGCAGCAGCCCCCCCCCTGCCCCCACCACCCCCCGCCACAACCACCCACTACCACCCAGTACTCCCCTAACTCTCCTCTCCTTCTCATCTCCTCCCACTGCTTGAGATTTTGCCTCTGGTCCATCTGTCTGTCTGGGGCTACAAGGGCAGCAGCAGCAGGAGGAGGCAGAGGAGGAGGGGGGGGGGGGGGCGCGCGGGGGCGGGGCGGCGGGGGGGGGAGAGCGGCCTCGGGGTCACTCGC